TTACATTAATTATTGTTATACTATTTATATAAGTAATTAATTCTACAAACAAACTAGATACGTGGTATTTTGAATAAAATCTTTTGCTAAGATAGATTTTTGAAATATATTTTTCATTCGAGTTTTTAACTCATAATAGTAAAAACTTTAAATAAACAATTGGATTGTTATTCAAATTTAATCTTCTTTATTGTTTAATATTATGAATCTCTAATTCTAAAACTACACTACACATAAAGCTAATAATATTTAGTAAACTAAGATTAAAAAATGAAAGACAAGCTAAATTAAAATAGAATATCATAATTATTCAAATTTTGTTTAATGAGTTATTATAAAACAAATAGATCAAGAGAAAGTTAAAGTAATTTAATTGAATTTATTTATATTTATTTTAATATGCATTCGTAGACAAAAATTATGTATAGAGGAATCGAAAAATAATCTCATCTTTTAACTTTAAATTAATAATAATGAGAGTTTTTTATATTATAGCTCAAATAATGAATAGAAAGTTAAGTACAGTTTTTCTTTCATCCATTTATATTTAAAAAATGAAAAAAATGATCATATAAATTATTTATAATGTTTTTTTGAAAAACTTAATTTTTGTATTTTTAATTAATTTACAGCTCAAAATAATAATTTAGATTTCTGAAATTCTTCAAATATCATTATTTATGATTATCTTAAATAAATTCAAATCTCGTTTTTATATAATATTGTAATTAATAAAAATATAGATCTATTTTCAAGTGTTCCATGATTTAATAAGAATAAATAAATAATTAGAAATAATAATTACTATTATTTTATGTAAATAATTAATATTAATTCATTTCATTTTTATCTCATAAGATGAGTATTTTCTACTTTTATCATCCCAAAATACTAAATATTAACCATCATTGGTTATTGTTCCAAATATAAATTCATTTTAAATATGTAATGATGCCATAATATTAAATGTACAATCTTTTAATTCTCTAATCAGGTAGATATGATGCTTATGTCTTATCAATAGTATATTTTTATTTTTATTATATATAATTGGAAAGAAACAAAAATCTTCACATTTATTATTATTCTTATTTAATTAAATAGTTTTTTTTGAATTTTAGTTAAATACTCCATCTTATAATTCAAATATTAGAATATCATTTTCTTAATTTTGTGTTACCCAAAGTAATTATTAATTATTAATAAAATATAACTTATTTCCTATTTATGGAACTGATTACTTATATTTAAATTCCCATTTCTCTTATAATCCTTTTTCCCATATTATAAATTCAGTTAATCCACATGATGCCATAATAGTTTCAGATTAATTTAAACTTATTGAGTATATATAATTACTATTAGAATCTAAATGATAAAGGAAAGTTAGATCATTCTTAAGAAAATCGGGTTTCCATATTATTATTGAATAATCATTTCCTCCAGAAATAAGTTGATTCTCTTATTTATTTAATATTAAACAATTAATATAACTATTGTGTTATTAGAATGGTTATGAATACTTCCATTCTTTATCGTTAATTTATTACCAACATATGATATTTGTATCATTAGATCCAGAAATAAAGTTATTACTCTATTGGCTATAAACAAAGCAAGTAACATCTTTTAAATGCACTTGATATGATTGATTCAATTTAAATTTTCCTTTTTCAAAATTCCAAATAATTACTTTAGTTTCTTCAGATGAAATCATTATTTATCCAGTTTTATCAAATACTGTTGCATAACTCAGATCAAAATATTGATTTGAAACATCAATTAATTTAAGTTCAATTTATTAATCCATTATTTAGTATTATTCTAATTAATTCTATTGATTATCAAATTTTTTCACATCTGCTTATTACTTTTCTTATATTAAATTAATTTTTTCGATATCTTTTAATAATTCTTCACATTTTTGACACTCTTTAAACTATTTATATTAATTTAGTTTCACATATATCTTTTAATTCCATGATTAATTAATTGAAATAATTTGATCAATTAAATATTTCTAATTGAATTCATCAAATTTATTTTATTTAATTATTTTTTCTAATTCATTAAAAAAACTATAAGTAACATTTTATTATCCTAATAATAATAACTATTTCCTCCATTCATCTGTATTTCCTATGAATTGATCTAATTATTAAACAACAATTGATTTTAATTAATGTAAATCTTTTTAAAGTTATTCGATCAATTTAATATTGATCATTATCACATTCTCAACTGATAGTTTCTTTTACATTTGATTTTCCTCAATTTCTTATAACACTTTCTTTAAGCTCATTACATGTGCTTTTGATTCTAAATTTTCCATACATTAATGGCATAATAGTTTATAATTCTCCTATAATTTTGGATCCAATTAAACCATAAAGATAGGGAGTTTATGATTGTAAGGACAAATAAGATCTTCTTCTTTTTCTAACATTCTTGATTAAATCATATATAATTATATTTTATTATTATTATTAAAGTAATTCTATTACAAGACATTGAGATAAGTATTCTTTTCTCAAATATTATGATTATTATTTAATTTGATATTATTTATGCTATAAAGTAGACTAAGTAATTATTTATGCTAGAATGATAAATTATAAGGAATAATTGTAACAATATAATATAAATATCTCCTTATATTTTTTATGCTAAAGTAAATCTTTCATCTAAAGAATTATAAATTATTTTAGGAATATATGATAAAATGAAATAGATAATTTGATTAGATTAAGCCATATATTGATATAAAATTAGGACATATAAATTATATGTAACAGAAATGATACAAACATAAAATATTATTGAAAAGATTCCACTAAGAAATATAGGATTTGAGGAATATTTTAGTAAATGAAAATTAGAGAAAAATGTAAAACATTATGAAAAAAGGGGATAGAAGATGAAGAATAGTGGGTTTTTTATTATTAATAAGGATAAAACAAAGAGTATAGTATTTTTGGACAAGAAATTTAATTTAAAATAAATGGTCTGAGATATTAGAGTGATGATTAATGGTAATTACAAAAATTCTTCAAAATTCTTTATTTATACATAAAAACTCATTTTAGTATCTCAAATTTTATTATTTATGAATTACTACAATTTATTATTAAAAAATGGTTTAAAGCATAATTACTTGTTGTTTTTTTCAGTCTACCATATTTTTATAAAGTATTTTTTGATTAAATAGCTTCATTTTTATAATCTATTATCTAAAATTTTAATATCAATTTGATTTATATGTGTATCTAAAAATTATTGTTGATTAATTTATTTAAATTGTTAATTAATTTATTCATGTAAAATTTAGAAAATCAAGATAATAATACCAAAGAATTTGAATTAATTGTTTGGGATTAAGGAAATAATGGATTGTTAAGACAAACTATTTTAACTGAATTCAAAATTAAATCGATGAAGTTACATGTATTAAAAAAGGAGTTATTTTATCTTTTTAAGTATTGGAAAAATAACTTCATTTTAGAAATAAGATTTAATTGATGACTAAAAAATCACCAAAAATCTTGTGAAAATTAATCATTTTAAATGGAAAGGAAAAGAAGGTAAAGAGAAATAGAAAATTGGTAAATGGGAAGGATATTGGAAAAATAAAGTATAAAAAATAGGAGGATATTATGATAATTAAGGTCTAAAGTAAGGATT